TTAGTCGAGTCAATTCCATGATGGTTGTGTTTCGATGCCAAAGGCAACAACTGCACATCACCCAGTCGAGCATTTATTATTTTTCATAAAGGTGGCTTTCATCGCAGCATCGCCCAATAACAATTTCCCAAGCTAGCCATGTAGGATGCTTGATGTGTTACTAAGTTACTATTTCGCAAGCAGCCACATTGGCCACCTGCCCCTCCGATTCTCGATGTTTCGTTTGTCTTTACACCACCACTAGGCTCGCCACCCTCAAACTAGCTAGATATGGAAGACATTGCGCGTGTTGTTACACCACCACTACACTCGCCGCTATCAAACCAACTAGATTTAGAAGTTTTGCCATAAACAGCTGTGGACACCGCCTCATCCTCCAAGTCTTAGCCAATGGACACTGATATACTTGATTTCAAACTCAAGCTGACTTAATCACCTTGAATTTGAGGGCATGTTAGAGATTATTAGGGATTTCTCTAACATAATTTCCTATGTTAGAGATTATGTTAGAGATATTTTGATAGAATTTTACTGGGAAAATTGTCCAAAAAGTCCTAAACCTATTGCACATTTGTCATTTCAGTTCTAAATTCAATTTTGTCAATTGAGTCCTAAAGATTTTCATGCCAATTGAGACCATCCGGTCAATTTTGGACAGAAATCGCTGACATGGATACTGGCTGTCCACTTGGCATGTCTGGCATGACGTCAACAATTTTTAGCATTTTAGTTTTTTTCGATTTCTTTTTTTTCTTTTCTTTTTCCTTTTCTCTTATTTTCTTTTTTTTCTTTTCTTTTTCCATTTTTTCTTTCCGTCCAGCCTCGTTAATGGCCGGCGAAGGTTGCCGGCCTCCGGTGAGGGATGCCCTGATCAGACTGCTATCGTTCGGCGGCCTAAAGCCCTAATTTCATCACCATTGCCTTCGACATCAAAGAGGATCGGAAATTCACCATCTCTGCAAATTTCTCTTCGATATTTCCAGTCTCTATAGGTGGCGGATCATGCTGTCATGAGTTTAATTGTGGACTCGTACAAGAAGTTCATTTAGGCCTTCAAGCTCAAGCCCCTTAAGCACTCCCCCGATGGCCATACCCTAACCCTAACCAAACTCGTTTGCTACCCCTCCCACCTCTCCCCAATCTCATCCGTCACGGCAACGCCACCGTCCACCTCTATGACCTGACGGTGGCCTCCTCCCTCGGCTCCCTCCACCACCATTCTACTATGGTCACCAATCTCTACTTCTGCACCCCCTCCACACCTCTCGTTCCCGCGCGACTTCCTCTCTGCTTTGGCGAATGGCTCAGTGTGCATCTTCGACACTCATCCAATAACAATTAAGGTTTCCAAGAAGGGCGGAGTCAATAGCCTCTTGGTGCATCCATTTGGGGAAGCTAGTGAATTCACTAGAAGCGTAAGGGAAAAAGGGAAAAATAAAGAAAAAAAGAAAAGAAGAGAAAATCCAAAAAGAGAAAAGGAGGAAAGAGAAGAAAAGAACAAATAAAAATTTTTAAAAAATGTATTAAAAGCGAAACATATACACAAATAGTCGATAATCAACATAATATTGCCAAAACATTTTAGGGTGAATGCCAGTCTTGATTACTGAATTTTAGCATGCAACCGAGTCGTAAAACTTTTATTTCAATTATTCGATGTACTAACATTTCATTGTATTTTAATTGGTTCCTTTGGCCATAGTTTATCAATTCCTTGATGAGATGCTAATATGGAGGAGACGTGGTCGGCTCTATGATTCCCATATCATTGCCATTTAACCTCCACCTCAATAGTTTTCCAGAAAGCCCGTCAAATTTTGTTGTGAAAAAAAGGAAAATTTGGTGCATTAAGTAATTAAAATCAAATTTCATTATTGTGATTGTAAAATTTACTAACAGATTAATGACCATTATTGAAACTTGGACAAATATCTAAGTTGTCCATATGGGGGCATAACCACCATCGACAATGACTTTTACCATAACGGCCTCAACTAGTCATGAGATCGCAACACATGTCCATTTTAATTTGTATTTGACCACCTCCAAAGAAATCCCTCACCTAAACCCTAATCTCCTCCTCCCTCCCTCCCTCCCCCTAGCCCAAATCCCAACCAAGCCACAGCCACCTCTAGCCACCGTCGTCGATGACAAACACCGTCCCTCTCTCTCTCCCTCCCTCACTAGTCGAGCATTCATAAGTATCAAGCTCGTTAGACGTGACAAAGGTCAATAAATTTTGCCCTCCCTCCATTGAAGTTTTTGGCTTCATCGCCATCAAGAGGCACACGTCGAACTCACATGATCACGACTTGGATGAACCCAATCAAATATATTCTAAGTCTAGGCAAGAATTATTATAATCTCCTCCTTCATTAGATGTAAACCGCGCTTTTCAATAGTTGTTTCATAGGTTTTTTATACATAAATAAAAGTCATGTATAAACATTTGAGCACAAAGATCACATCAAGGTATTTATATACTAATGTAAAAAATCTTGTGGTTTATGTTGAGGTACAATATTTCTTTGATAGAAAGGAGTAATAATGCATATGATTTAATATTAGGATAAATAAAACGATGAAAGAGAACACAGGGGAGGTGAGAGCGACAAGTGTTAACGACTTTGAAAGGGGACTCGAGATCCGATCGGATACCGCCAATGGGCTACCGTGCACCTATGACCACCAAATCGCTCCCCGAGCACGGACGGACAGCCGTTTCCCGCGCGTGACCGGCATGACCTGGCGTTGGATCTCTCGCGGATCATGATGTAATATCGCATCATCACGTCCTTAATTAATAAACTCTGAACAAATTAATAAAAAAATAATGACACAAATTGTCTCTAAACTTTTGCTCAAAAGTGTAAATGTGATCCTCGAACTTTTAATTTGGTCAATATGATCCTTGAATTTTAGCCAAATGTGCAATGTCATCCTTGAACTTTGAAGTTATTTAATATAATCTCTAGACTTTTGGTACATGTTCAAATTAGTCCCTAAACTATACGAAGATTGTTCAATATTGTTCTTACATTAATTTAAATTCTAGGACAATATTAAACGTTTTTTATATAGTTTAGGGACTAGATTAAATATGATTCAAAAGTTCAAAAACTATGTTTAACAAATTGAAAGCTCAGAGATGACATTGCATATTGAGCTAAAGTTTAAGAACCAAATTAAACAAATTATAAGTTGATGGACCACATTGCATATCAACAAAAAAATTCAGGACCATTTATGTCATTTTACCTAAAAAAAGGGAAAAAATAATTAAATGAAAAAAATGAACTACGTGTAAATCAAAAGAAGAAGATCTCTCTCTCTCTCTCTCTCTCTCTCTCTCTTAGAATTCCTATCTCGCCATGCCCGATATGTTCTTCGTCAAATTCAGGCGTTGGAGCTCGAAACCCTAGGAGGGGATTAGCAGGCGGTGGCAGAGGCCGAAAGGACTAAATTAGTACAAATGCAAAAGATTTAGGAATTAATTAGCAAAAGAAAAATTTATGACTGAATTGGCAAATTTGCAATAAGTTGATGACTTTTTTGGTAGGTTTGCCAATTTTAAAGTTGACAAAACTAAAATGTTGTCACATTTCATGTATTGTTTATATGAATGATGCTGTATAGTCATTGACGGAATCTTAAGTGAAAGTAAAAAGTTTGATAGAAGTTGGATGGACCTTCATAAAAAGTGACCAAAGTCTGGAAGAACGCGAAGTTTGTGAAGACTTGGAGGTATTATGACAAAGTGAACAATTGAGTGAAATCTCGATCACTAATGTATTAAGGAAGAAGAAAGGGAAAGTTATCTAAAAATTCCTAAACCTGTTGTACGGTTGTGAATTGAATTGAATTTTTTTTAAAATTTGATCAATCTAATCCTCAACATTTAGACTATTTTTCAATATAGCTCTTTTAACCAATTTTAGCCGCTCACGTGGTGATTCAGTCAGTGTCGGTCATCCTACGTGACATGACCGGCATTGACATAGCCGGCTTGACATGGATGATATTTGCAATTTGTTTCCCTTTTTTCTATTTATCCTTCCTTTCCTTCCCTTTTTCCTTTTTTTTTTCCTATTTTCCTCCACCTGTCGTTGGGGCCTCGGCAAGGCCATGCAAGCTGTCGTTGTGGCTGGCAGCAAACTCAAAACTTTTATTTAGGAAAATGCTTAGGTAACCGTCCGTGGTCATCAAACCAACTAGATTTAGAAGTAAATAATCTTAAACTACGAAAATTCACATTAAGAAACGTTAAACTAGGAAAAATCAGATTAGAAAATCAACTTAAATTAGGAAACTACAGCTCAGCTCATAGAAAGCGCCTTTATTCTTCAACTTAGCGAAATGAACTATGGAGTCATGTTGTGCCCGAAATGCCCCTTTGCTTGTATTTAATGGAATCCGAAACTCCCGTATTACTCACATACTTAATCGGGACTGGATTAAATAGAAAAAAAGAAAAAACAACATGGAGGTGAGGAGGAAGAATTGTAAACATGGAAATGTCACATGGACTGGATTTTTTTAATAATATGTCAAGTCATATAAAATTTTTAATTATAAAAGCCATTTATTATTTTTTGCTGGAATTTCTCGCTGTTGGTACTTAAGTGATCGTTTTTTCTTTGATTTGTCACTCAAGTGATCCGGCAAAAATTTTTTGCACTAAAGTGAACGTTGTACACAACTTTTGACACTCCTAATGTCCTTCTCCCTGTATTGGGCCCGAAATATCCCTTTGCTTGTATTTAATGGAATCCAAAACTCTTGTATTACTCACATTCTTAATCAGGTCGTCGTGGCTTCCGTCAAATATCAAGCATTGATTTCCATAATCCATGAAATAATTACCTTGCCATATATTCTAAGTTGACCCTAAAACATATATTTTTCCCAAATCACACGACTAGTGTCCGTGATTCTCTCGATTCCAAGACCTATAAATACACGTACCCACCACCCATGAAAACATCAAGATAAGCGTTCGATTTCAAAAAGCTCACACCAGGAACATAAAGCATAAATAAACATCCACAATTGTCAAACCCAACGCTCCAAGAAGAGACCCAAGAAAACGGTTACCAAAACCAAAAACCGAAGCCAAAACCTCCGAAAATGAGACTCCTCATTCTGGCCGCTGCCGCCGTCCTCCTCCTCCTCCAAGTCTCGGCCGCCGGGGCTGCCCGTAGGGAGCTGATCAATGGCTGGAACCCGATAAAGGACGTGAGTGACCCGTACGTGGTGAATATCGCTAAGTTTGCCGTCCAGATACACAATGACAAGGCCAAGACGGGGCTGGTGCTGGAGAAGGTGGTGAGGGGCGAGACGCAGGTCGTGTCGGGGACGAACTATAGGCTCGTCATCCAGGTCAAGGATGGGGCCGAGACCAAGAGCTACGAGGCCATCGTTTTTGACAAGCCGTGGGATTATGTCAGGCGTCTCACGTCGTTCAAGCCCCTTTTGGGCAACGCATGAGGTCGTGTTTGAGAATAATTGATGTTAACCCTTTAGGAATTTGGCAATAAAACAAGATCTGGTTTTCATTTTTAGAATTGAAATATTTATTCTGATGTAATGTAGGGTTGAGCGGTTCCAGGTGCACCTGGAACTTAGAACCTATGTCACGCCCCGAACCCCAACGAGCTCGCGGCATCCCCTGCTCCGGTCGAAATGATGCGACGTCCCAGGAACGTCGCCGACCCAACCCAAACATCAGAGCCACATGCGGAAGCGAATAACAAAACCCCGGACAAATAATGACGACAACGGGGTAGAACAACAGAACAATCCAGCAACCACATATTCATACAACACCAAATATACAAACATCATATTCCAGACATAAATACAGACTAACATCCTCAGTCACCGTTTAAACAAAAGATCGAGGTCTGGTTAACTTAACTTCCCTATGGGTCAACCCGATTTACACAACCCCTAAAATCTTAAGGAAAAACCTAAGGATCGCCCTCCTCCGTCTGCTTCCGAATCTCGGCTCGAATCTCGGAACTCACTGCAGCTCCACTTTGGGTACCAACAGTAGCTCCCGGACTTCCAAAAAGAAAAGGCGCACTTCCCGGGTTTAGGGCCGGGGTTCGAAAGTGACGGTTATACAACCGTGAGACGAATCTCAATAAGTGTACAACCCCAAACCCCACGTAGGCACTCACGTACCGCCCGACGAAAACACACATAACACACAACGATCGGCCAACTAACAATCACATGCGACCCTACCTGGAATTCCTCACGCACGTCCCCGCACGTTAGTCAACCACACATCCAAGATGCCACGTAAATACATCACGGCGTGCCCGATTATAGAGCAAAACCCACTTGGGCACGTCCCATACCATGCCTAGCAGTTTTACCCCATAATCGAGCATCACACCACGCGATACAAACACACTCGCACACCAACTCACACCACGCGTCACTTTCTTAATTTCACTCGTCCCGCCAATTCTTGTTCATTCTCAACCTTTCCACCACTACCGCGCCCGCGTAAACGCATCGAGGCCAAACGGTCTTCGACCTCGTCGGGCATCGCCACCCGTCGGGCCGGGCATCGTCACCTCGTCGGGGACGGCATCGTCCCGCGTAAACGTACACGCCTCGGGACGGAATCCTACACACACTTTCCTTCTACCGCGCCCGCGTAAAACGCATCAGGCCAACGGTCTTCTGACCACGTCAGGCATCGACACCCCGTCGGGCCGGGCATCGTCACCTCGTCAGGGACGGCATCGTCCCGCGTAAACGTACACGCCTCAGGACGGATCCTTTCCAACCAATCTCACATTTCCATATCCTCGTTCCACTCAAACCACACTTACACACAACCAGCACACGCACGGCCAAACATACACGCCTCACACATTTATAGCCACACACCAAATTCACATCTCACGTACACTTCACAAACACGCATTCTCATCACACGGACACCACATGATCACCCACACTCGGCACACGAACTCAATGCACATTCACATGTCCACGCCACCACACCTCACGGCCACACACACGGCATAGCGCCACATTACATTCGGCCCAATCACAAACTAGAACAAGCCAATGACAGCAAACTACACAATTAATCCGATAAACCCAATCAAACCAATACATTTCCAATTAATCACCCATTTAATTCCCGATCGATCCTCGACATCACCGCCCTAACTCAGCATTCCTAAACCACGAATTTCGTCACCCAATCAGCCCACAACCTCCAAACATTCAGCCCCTAATTTAGTCCCGAAGACAGCCACGAAATAACCACTAACAGTCCCTAAAATCACTTAAACCGAATACTAAACGAGTCTAGAAATACCCGAGGTCCTAAATGACATTTGGGGAAAACACTTACCCAAAAAGGCGACACAGAACGGGGCTTGAACGGGCCGGGACAGCGGCAGCAGCGTCGCCGGCGATGTACGGACGGCGTGAACAGTGTTCCGTACGGACGCGATGAACAGTACCACTCCGTACGGACACTGTACGGACAGGCTGGGACGGTGGCCAAAGAGGTGCCGGTGACAGCCGCGGCGTCCGACGGTCCGGGCGTGAACAGTGATCCGTACGGACGGGGTGAACAGTACCCCGTACGGACACTGTACGGACTACGCTGGACGGCGACGTACGGCGAGGCTGGACGGCTGGGTGTCGACGGAACGACGATCGGAGCTCCGGCGAAGCTCCGGCGGTACTGTTTGCAGACCGGGAAAGAGAAAAACAGAGAAACAAGGCTGTTTTGGACAAAACTGGGGCTGTGGTGGCTGCACAGAGGTGGAAATGGTTGCTGGTGATGTTGGCTTGGTGGGGGCAGCACCGCTGGTACTGTTCCGGCGTGAACATACCGAAAATGGCGAGAAACGGACTGCGGAACAGAAACGTGAAGAAGAAGAGGAAAATTCTGGGGAAAATATGGCTGAATGGGTCTGCACGAGAGAGAGAGAGAAGACTATCTGGTCAAATGGGTCAAAGATAGCTTAGTGGAGTCCAAGTGTCACAATCTAGGCCCATTGGACAATTTTGCCCCTAATCCAAGGGCCCAAATTTGATCCAATCCAATAATTTAGGGGTAGAATGGTCATTTGCTCTTAACCATGGTTGACCAGACCTGAGTTAAGCCTAACTCACCTTGGTTAATCCCAAAATTAAATCCAATTTTCGGAATTAATCAAAAATGGCCTAGGGGCATTTTCGTAATTTTCCGATCCCGAACCGAAATTCCAATTTTTGCACATACGCGTTCCATATATGCGTGGCCAACATAATATGGCGTCGGAATCGCGAAATTCATCGCGCAAGCCCTCGAAAATCCACGTCAAAGTCTCGGGAATAAAATAATATTATTTTTCCAATTTTTGTCGAAATTCCAATTTTTGGCCAAAACCACTCTAAATGTGCGTGGCCACCCCAAAATGACCTTGGCCGCGAAAAATAACCTCAAACGGCCTTCGAATCCAGCCTCGGTGCCCACAGGGGCAAAACCGTAATTTTTCCGGCCCCGGACCGAAATCCATTTTTTTGCAGAAATGGGTGGCCCCAAGGTTGGCCAAGCCAAAAACGTCATCGGCCATCCAAAATTGTCACTTTCAAAATTCTCGATTCCCGGGCCCGAATTCCAAGAAATGACTAAAATCGAGCAATAGCAACTTTAGCTTATCTCTGGCTAACGGGTGGCTCATTGGGATTACGCGCTCTCGACCCATGACCGACACTAAGTCAAATCACGTTTAAGTTTGCTCGAACCAAGACGACCTCGATTGTCATATAATTGCGAGGGTCTGTCGCTAGTGCCCTTTGGACACGATCAATCAAGTAGATCGGTCTCGGTTGGCTCAAAACATTCCCTCGTCAATCCATATGGTCGAAGATCGAACCCAGGTCGAGTTCTTTGGTCGTGCGAACTCAATCCCGTAATAGCCTTACCCCTAAGGTTAGCATCCCGTGAATGCGCATTTCCGGGTGAGATTTCACTACAAGTGCATTGGCCAAAATATTCATTTCATAGATCCCGGGAAAAGGATCGAAAATTCAGACTGTTACAATTCTTCCCCCCTAATAAAAATTTCGTCCTCGAAATTTACAACTATACCTGCTATCCAAACAGGTGGGGGAGATGACGTCTTATTATCCTTACTTCCGTAATATTCCCACACAACTTAGACCAACGGGACCGTCCTAATCCTTAAAACCTGTTCCTTCACATTTGCCCCTAAAATCCAATATACATATTCCCAACATATCCTCTACAGTCCGTATAGTCCTTCCAAACTGGTCATCCAATAAGATCTCTTACTTAAGTCCTGTCAACAGCGCAACTATCGAGGTTCCTTCTCGACTCCTTACAATCTCAAATCTAAGGTGTCCAGCCAGACCAAACTGAATCACCCTATTGCTGCAATCCATTACAGCATTCTGTTTAACTAACCAATCCAAACCCACGATCAAACCGAAATCACACATAACTAACAAAGCCAAATCTATTCCGCTTTCTACACCACCAAACACCATTTCACAGTCTGAACATCCCAACAGCATGCACATCTTATTCATCAATGGCATAATCACACACGCTTGTACTTCTAGAAACAATTTCAATCCAGCCATATAACAAATCAAACAGACGCAAACGAGTGCAACGCCCCGAATCTATAAAACAAATGCCACCTAATTATACAAAGAACCATACCTGGGGTTACGCCTGGCGCATCCTCAACTCCTCTCGCGTCAAGGCGTACACACGTCCTTGTGCCGGCGGTCCGCTCGAATTAGCCGGGGGGGCACTAGTCGGATTCCCAATCCGAGGTGCCTGCACTGACGGGGGTGGTCGAACTTGAAGATTCGGGCAATTCCTTATGTGATGTCCCATTCCACCACACCCAAAACATGCCCCAATCACACTTGGGCAGGAACCATTCCCATGGTATCTCCCACATCGTTTACAGGCGGAATTAGACGAATATGCCGACTTTCCAATATTCCTTCTTGCCGGAGGGACAAAACGTCGATTTTCCATCATCGGCCTTTTCCCCAGCTGACGATCGTCCCCGGCTGAGATATGTGGTGATCCAGACGCGACGTTTCTTTCCATCATATCCTGCTCAATAATTTGAGCCCGCCTATACATTTCTCCATAATCCTTAATGTCATGCGATAATATCAGACTCCGAAGATCCGGCTTCAGTCCATCCCGGAATCTTCGCGCTCTATCTCTCGGGTTCTCCACCATGGTCGGTGCAAACTCAGCCAATCTCGCGAACTCGGCCTCATACTGATCCACAGTCATTTGTCCCTGGCGCAAGCGCATAAATTCCATCAACTTCTTTTCTTGCGCATTTTCCGAGAAATATTTTTCATAAAAATTCTCTACAAACACAGCCCAAGTCGGGGCCGTTCCTACAGGAAACACTCTACCTTCCACAGCATTCCACCAATCATTTGCACCCTCTTGTAATTGATAAACCGCCAATGTCACTTTCTCCTCCTCGGTGCACCCCAAAACCTTAAAAGTTTTCTCCAGTTCTTCTACCCACCTTGGCGC